GGGTGATGGACTGCCTTAGATAGTAATTTTATGACGTCATGATGACGTGGTTGGTTCAGCTCGGCGGATTTTTTTTTTCGAAAGTTACGCGATTCGAGCCAATTCGTTCGAAAAGAAATACGAGAAAAATATTTATTTTTTTGGAGGTAAAAGTGGGCGTATCTTTCGAGCTACTGACCGGGCCAACTTTCGGACTTCAGATTCGGATTCCCAGACCTCGTTTACACTAGAAATCAACGTGATATATTTGAGTCACAAAATTGCACCCCCTTGCTCTGGCCGCAAACCCAAAGCCGTAAAAAGCCAAATGCTTGGCACGGCCTCGTCTTCCCCGACGCGCAGAAATCCACCACCGCGACGTCCTGCATCTCACAGGGGGCATCAACCACCGCTTATGAAAAGATAAGTGACGGACACTTCTATCCCGCGGGTTCGCGGCGGTTACTTGGCGGTTGCTGTGCTTATGCAGATTCCTGTACGCGGGTTCGAACCTCAACGAGGGTAAGCTTTAAAAATGTTACCCCTTTCTTCATACGAGGGCAGATGGAGTGCAACACTTCCAATTACTGACCTCTGTCGGTTTTCTTTCACTATGTGGTAACTCCCCATGGTTCCAGCTCTAAACCAGCACACCGTAGGTGCAAATTCCGGGGATCATCCCTGGTATTGTCCCCTTCTGTGGCCAGCACCTCAACAGAGAATCAAGCAAAAGTTATCAGGGGATGCGGGGGCGATCCTGAGAAACACAATCTTCCGAAGCAGTCGCAAACTCTGTCCTGTCCGATCTCCTCGAATATTTGAAAACACAACTACAGCTTGAGATCGACATCTACAAACGTCCACTGTGTTATCTTCGCGGAGATTTCTACTGGAGGCCTCCACATCCAGTCTTCAGCCTTCAACAGGGTATGGGTGCCAATCCTGACATGGTCTATTGGTGCGATGTTTTTGTGTGGCTTCCCCACCTACTTCCGGGTGCCCCAGAAAGGCTCAAGTGCAGTTGTGGTCTACCCCTCTCTTGTAAAGGTAGGAGCTATTTCTTTATGTAGGGTGAAAGATCTCACCATTTTCCCCAGGCTTTAACGATAAACCAATCGCCCGCTGTGTCCGCTCAATGCCAGCAGATTTTTTTCTCTTCACAAATCACTGGATTTGTGATGATCGATGCGACAACAACCCGGGCTGCGGAAAGAATTATCAAGGTTCGGATCCTGACATGATTGCGCAGCTCCCGCGATTTGTACAAGTTGCCTTTCCAGGTATGAAGTATTGTTGCATCAAACAACTGGAAGTTGAAGATTTCTCCCAGCGTATATCTCAGCGCGTGGGGCTATCTCGAAGCTCATGATGTCGCAGATGGCCAATACTTTTGCGGCACACTTTGGGCCCGCTCCGTTTTCTGCACTGGTTTCTGAGATTCAACATCGATTGCATGCAGATGGAGAGTTCATGTACCTTGCAGCGGCTGGAGTCTACAGCCAAAGAGAAGTCCCCCCATTCTCGGCATTCAATGATCGAAACGGTTATGCTGGATCCCCACCGTCCACTCCATACTTGAAGGCCATGTTCACAGATTATGTCTCTGCACATCGTATTTACATTGAGCGCGATACCACATCTCAATCATGTACCATTGGTATGGGAGACCATACATTTCACGTTAGTGCGCTCATTCCATGTCTGTCTGATCAGGTACTTCACTAACTTGCTGTGTTTTATGCCTTTCTGACCACTAAAATTGTCTAGGATTTTGATGACATGCCAGATGTTGATGAGGAGTATCTCTACAACACGTTAGGGTTAGGTATCGAGCGTACCTTCACACTGATACAGCAGTCACCAACACTTCCCACACGTGTTTTGGATGATGCTTTTCATTACATGGATCGACTCCTACGACTGCTGTCCAGGAAGCACTCTGCTTTCAAAGCCTTTGTGCAGGAGTCACGCGTCACGGAGGCCGGTGTCGAATAGGTCAAGCGGTTCGTCACGCGGCCGAAAAATCGTGTGAACAACTCCCTGCCCTTGCTGAGTGTGTTTTAAACCAGTTTCTGAACCATTCATACCTGCAACTGTAAAATTTGAGTGTGTGGTTGGGTTTCTGGCCTAAAATTAACCTAAAATGGCCCGCAAAAAGAACTCATAAGAAAATATCAATGAGGATTGAACAAGCTTTGCAAATATTTTGTACTATCCCAAGAAATTACCTTCAATGGAATAATAACATTTGCCACTCATGTCGAATTTTTTCCCTTGTCACGCACCTTTCGGATGGCTGTCGAAATGTCGAATTCGTCGAACCAGTCACGCGTCACCCCCCCCTGTCGATTTGAACGTAATGGTACAGTCTCGGACCAAACTCTCATGATATCCCAATCTGGGAGCCCTGTCATGAGAGTCTGGGCTTCTGTCAGCCCATTAACCGTACCATTGCGCTATTAAATTTTGATCTACTTTGTATTGAGTTTTGGCACAAGTTCCCATCGGTTAGTGTACGGTCGCACCCCTATCCTCTACCTTTTTGTACCATTTCAACACCCTTTGTGGGTTGGTATAAAATTATATGGAAAGATGCCATTCCAATCAAGTTTTCTGTTACAGAATGCAACAGAATTACCCTGTCAGGCCCCGCTGCTCCAACACAGTGTGTATGCACGGTGGTGGCCAATTAACGGCGGGAGGGTGCACCATTCTCGCCACTTTTCGCTCATTGCATTGCAGCATTGTTAATGCAGACCATTTCTCCAATGCCAAATTTACACCAAGTCTACCAAACCAAATGTTTTTGGACTTGCTGTCAGTCAGATCCAGCCTCGGGGATTGAGTGCTTCACTAGCTCTGGTCCGCGCGGCCATTGGCTCTTTGAAGAAATTTTCATTGAGTGTGAGTCCTCGCTGGTTCAAACGTTGAGCCGTGAATCAACATGAGTTTGAACTTAGGTAAAGTAGAAGTAAATATTGGGTAAAACTTGCAGAAAGTCCAGACAAGTCGATGTCGGGAGGATTACAATTATGAGGGTGTGGAGAGCAAGGGGAACTCAGGATTCGAAAGTCGGCAGGGGGTCAATAAGTTTTTTTCAGCCCGACTTAGACACCACCCCCTATATAGGGAAGGTATTTCCCACCCCTGGCGCCCGGCCGCTCTTCCCGGAATTCCCGCCGTTCACTGGATCTGGTTCAGACACTACAACCACTTGATTTAATGTTTGAGGTACATGCCATGATCCCAGAACCTATCTGTAATGCTGCTAAGGCCACAAGTAGACCTCCAGATTTTTTTTGAATCTCACTCCAAGACCACCCGAAGATACATAGTCTCTCGTAGACAGACACTTTAACATAAAGCTCGGAACTCACTTGTTGAAACCTGACAGCTTTTGGTTGAACTTGGGTGGCAATATTATCTTGTCCTGAAGCAAGTAGGAAGCAGAATTCGGAGTTTTTCACCTACTATGAGCTCTACCATGCTTCTCTCAGACTTTTTCTCCCCTCCCATAACCTATAGTAAGAAGTTTTTTTGGCCTCGGCCAGATCCCCCCGCCCCCTCCCCCGTCCAATATTTTAATCCCGAGTTCCCTTGGTGGAGAGACCTTGACAAGCAAGGTGACTAGGATCCTGGCTATTAGTCAAATATAAGACCAGGTGCAAACACCATGGAAGGTGAAATGCAGCTTCCGGTGGGTAAGGCGTGCAGGAAGGTGCACGGGAAGATGCACGGGAATGCAGCAAAGTGGTCCGAACATTGCCATGAGACTTACTAACCATGACATGGACCCGGCGGGGAAGTGCCGCCTGGGTGGGGCACCAGAATTAGCACCCCGTCCTGAGCACCGGGCACGAGGCTTCCTGCAGGTCGCTGGCCTGCCTTCCTGCACGCCTTCCGTGCCAGGTCCTCATCAGCTTCCCTGGCGGAAGCTGCAGTTCACCTTCCACGGTGTTTGCCCCCGGTGTCAAATATTCCAGGAAAAACTTCTATTCTTATGGGAAGTCAACCGCTACTTACATTAGTATAGGTACATTGGCCGCATTTGCAGTATATGTATTTCTATTTGCAGTTGAACTTAATGCCCATCACCGGGAAAATCCAGTATCAAGGCCGAAGCAGAGTGAAGGCAAATTATTTTTATCTTGTCGCATGACTCTTTGTTTCATGCTTATTGATACAACATACACTTACACATGTTTCTTACAAACAACAGGAGGCTAGCAGACCGTGGGTGGATCTGTTACCTTTATTACTTACATCCGTCTGCACTTCTGTTTCTCCTGTTTCATGCATGTTATACACAAGTTATATGTACTGGTTACACGTTGTCCGGGCGATGGGTTATAGTGAGCATAAGGTTACATACAAGTATATAAACTTGGAGTATTTTCCCAGCCTTGATCCCGTTTATTCTACCTGGTCTAGTACAGAACTTGGCTCTATCATCATATCTTTTCATCTTTGCTGAGATTATCTTGGTGTAATGTCTCATGTCATTTGTGATATTGTACCTAGTCACTGAGATTCACCCAGCTCTCACGCTTCACATCAACTCGCACTCTCGAGTCGCCGGAACACTCATCATCATGCTGGCCAACATTGACTCTCCACACCACCTCATCACTGTCTACAATCCCGAGTCTTGTGTTACACCTCACAGCCTCCTCGCATGGCTCACCCAGTGCGAAGATCTAAGTATTTAAGATTTTCAACAGCCGGAATGGAAATAATAAGCTGGCCATAGTTGATCGGATCCACTGTGAGCTATCACTTTGTGATTAGCTCCGAACACCCTTCTGCGGAGAACAGAAGGTGCCTTTCAAAACACTGGCGCACTTGAAATGAGATCACTGGTGCACTTACAGATGGAAATCACTGGTGCACTGTCACTCGGAGTTTTGGTGCATTCACATTTGAAACCACTGGGCACTTGCAGATGATTCAGAACAAAGAAAGGCGCACTTTTGCAAATAAAAAGAGGTAGCTTTGTTCAAGGAACGAAGCTACCGCTTTGAAGGCCAGACCCTGAGTCGAACGAGGGTAGCGGATCGAATACTGCATTAGCTCCATCAAACATCGGCGCACTAACCACTGTACTATCTGGCCGTGATGATTAAAACGAGTCGCACATAACTATCGAAACACCAAAGGCGCCGTGACAAGAAAAGAGCGCCATATTGAACCAACGACCTTTCACACATTATTTGCACGCACCGGGACAAACTCGCGACAAAAGACTATCTGGAAAAACGCGCGAGTTGAAAAAGGCGCTGAACTAGGAAAAAGAAGTGGTTAAATTTCGCAAGGCCAGACCCCGAGTCGGACGAGGGTAGCGGATTGAATATTGCCCTTGAACCCATCAAGTGTCCGCACACTAACCGCTGTGCTCTCTGACCGTGATAGCTGGGGACTGGGGAACAACAACAACATATACGAGAAAAGAACGCGCTGGTTGAAGAAAGGCACAGGCGCTGTTTGAAGATAGGCGCAGGCACGGTTTGAAGGAACAGGTGCGGGCACTGTTTAAAAGGAAGGCCGGCGCGGTTTGAGGAAAAAGGCGCAGGCGCGCTTGGGAAGAAAGGCACCGGTGAAATGGCGTGTCACTGAATACACTGCCATCTGGCTATTATTTGCGCTTTTTAGCAATAGTCTGTCTAGACGCTACTAAGTAATAATACAGCCGTCTAGACGGGTCAATATACCCACTAGAACTCTGTTTTGTGGTACAAAGGAGAGTCAGAGTGAGCTCCGGCTGCTGGCTGTAGTATTAGTACAGTGCTAGGCGCGGTTACAAGCGTACACTGTGCGAAGTACACATACCAAGGAGGTCTATACGGGGTCTAGTACCTCAGAATGTCAATTACCCTATCAAAGGAACCAACGACTGCACAGGGAAGCTATGGTCGTCACCAGCAAAGTAAGCAGCATGATATAGGGTCTGTCTAGACGAGTCGGCGCACTAAGCTACAGGCGTCTAGACGAGTATAGAACGACTCCATAGGTGGTCTAGACCGCAAAGTACAGTGTCTAGACGGTGCAAGGAACACAGGGATGTAAGGAGGGGTTGCCCTAAAGTGCCCCTCTAGCCAGTCAGGTGACTAACGCGACGCGGTCAGCGTTGAGGCGCCACAAGCACAAACATGAAGAAGGAGTTCTTGTTGAGATGTAGCCATGGGCAGACATATATATGTCTAGTCCGTGTGCTATCAGGGTATACGAGCAGATTGATGAGCAGTCCGGCGTCGGGGGATGTAGTTTTGCAAATTACCAGGTTCCGGGAGCTGTCTAGACGGCCCAAACTGGCCATATACCCGAACTGGGTCCCCTAGATCGTCATCTATATGACTTTCTGGCAAGTCCAGAGCCAGCATAGACCCAGTTAGCCTTCCGAGGATGACCGCATGACCAGAACATCGGCCTGTTTTACTCATTTCTCTTTACCTCATCTCTTTCTCTCAGAATCGTATATAAAGCCTCATAAAATACCGCAACGGACCAGTGTATGCCCCGCTCATCGTTACAACGATTCGGGTGTGCTCAGGCCACTTAGCGAAGATTAAAGTACCATCTCTCTCTGTGTAACAGTAGTCTATAAAATCGTAGTGCTTGTTGGATCCAGAACATTTGTGTGAACTTATAAGTAAAGCTTCGCGTTGGGAGGTCGTGAGCGGCGACTGCCTCCACGTATAAATCAGGACCGCACGCACATTAGAAGGCTTGAGAACTGCACTAAGCGTTGCGAGTCTGAGTCTGCCGCTAGTTCTCGAGAGGCCAGCTGTGCAATAGAGGCCGTCTAGACGAAGCAGCACAGCCCTTGAACGGGATTTTCAGTCCAAATCTACACCTCCTCGCCTAGGCACCTGTACTTTGGTGCGATTCCTAGTAACAATCCTTTATATATAAACCTGTGCATTCTTCCCTGGAAGTCTTGTTTAGAAGCCAAGCAGCCAAGCCAACTAGGGTCTAGACGCTGCATTTTGAGACGTTTTGAACGCATAGAACAACCATACATGCTCTAGACATCAGATACGCAGTCACATACTATGGCTCAGGATCCGAACTCATTGAGGAAGACGCGTTAAGTCCCCCGTGAGTCAATTTAGATAGGATTGGGTTGGTGTGTGTGTGTTTTGTGTGTGGTGTGTTAGTTGTTCAGCTAGCCCGCATTCAGAGCTTAGTTTAGCCCATTCTGTAGTCAGTGCATCTTGCCCGTTTCACCGGAGTTAGACCAATGGGGAACCAGGAAAGGGTATAAAAAGGGGGCGCAAAGAAGAGAGAAGGCATCTAATTACTTCCACTGCATACTGCTAAAAGGAAAGGCGCTCCCATTAAAATGGGAGGCGCTAATCCAGTACATTGTCAAATCAAATATATTAGTGTGCCTTCACAAGAGTGGGGTAACAGGGTCACCTTGACCGCGGTTGTACAGAATAGAAACTGCGCGAGAGACCTCCAAGACAAGAAAGGAGGAAACATTGGAAATAGCAGGTGTTGAAGCGCACATTCAGTTGAAGAAAAGCGCGGCGCGATCCTCCAAACAGCCAGCAGACCTACTCAGGCTGCATGTAACTGTTGACTTTCGGTGCTCATAACACACACCTTGCGTGCGTAGGGCGCATTTATCGAGAAGGCGCCTTTTACCAACTCGACTATACCACTTCCCCCATCCATTTGAGCCCACTTGACTTGACTAGCTAAAAAGGTGCCTTATGCCTGGTTATTCGCGCATGCACCCAATGTCCAGATTGTGAAGGAGCGTGCTACAATCTGATGGCGCTGTGTTGACCCAGTTCTGAAGAAACTGCTTGCACGCCCTATACGAAGCAAGGAGATACAAAAACACCACATTACCCGGGTTTACCGAGTAGGAGCGTACTTCGCATCGCAGAGCGCCAATCTTTCGCGCGGGTGTAGAAGAATCTCCCATCACGTCTTTCTCGGAAGGCTAGCCCCCAACGAGAGACCAAACTCTCGAGGAACCTAGCGCCTTTCTCGAAATCTGCTACTCACAGACGAGGAATCTGTAATAACCGCAGTCCACATCACACCGCATTATGGGTCACGCGATGCAAGAACCCAGTATGCAGCAGTGGTGGATGCAGGGAAGGGACAAATACCTCAAAATGGGGATGGACGACTGGACCAAGGCAATCAAGGACCAGTGGCTATCCACTAGTGGCGTGAACAACACCACACAAATCTGCTATGGCCTCAAACAGGGCCATAAGGATTTCGACGTGTATGCCACCGAGCTTGTATACCATTGCAATATCGTCGGAGACATCATCATCCCTGAAATCACATACAAGAACCTCCTCCTCTTTGGTGCCCACCCCATGCTCATGTATGATGTGCTCGCACTCCCCAAATTCGATGCATGCGCCCCCGAGCTCACCAGCAGCGAACTTCAGAGCATCATGTCTGCTCGGTGGGACGTTATTGTCAGCACAGGCAGGCAAAATCTCGTGACTTCACCGTCTACAATGGACGGGATTATCAGTGCCAAGCCGGAGTGATCCACTAGGCGTCAAAGCCTCATGTGGTGCATTGGGTTCTGGGTCCTTGTGTGGGCCATTACCCTGTGGATTTTATCCTGTTCAAGGGCTGGAGGGGTGGGTGGTGCTGGTAACGGTTGATGCGCTCTCGGCGCGTCTGAGAGCGTGAGCTGACACAACAAACATCAAACTCAACACTCCGACGGCCATGAAACGGGGGTGCGAGTGGGTCACTCCATGTTCAGTACTCGGCTGGTAAGCCGCGCAAGGGAACGTGATGGGAGCTGTGGCAGATACGGTGGCGTGGACGTGGACGACGAAGGACAGAACGATGGTGACGAAGGACATGACGTAGGCGGTGGGCATCAATGGCGACGAGGGACCGAAGGGTGAAGTACGAAATACGAAAGGTGAGATGTATTGCTGGTGGGCAACAAAACTGGAGAGTACAGGAAAGTAGGTGGGGTTTTTATAGTAAATGAGGGAGGCAGTGCTACCGAGAAATGGGGATAAATCGAAAAGGCGCCGCCAAAAGGATATAAATAGAAAGCGCACCGTGAAACGGAGGGCGCGAAACGGAGGATTGATCGGAGGACTGATGGCGGAGCGTTATGAAATTCAGTGAGTAGCGAAAGGGGTTATCGATACGGAGACGGAGACCATGCGGTTCGGCGGAATGGTGCACGGAAAAGGCGCTGTTGAGTTGCGGAGGCGCCCTCCAATTCGATGAACCATGGGAAAGGCGCTCGGTAGAAAGGCACTATATTTGTATACGCGCCCAGCGCAAGCTGGTGCGCATCACGGCGTAGGAATCGGAGGTGGTGTCTATGGGGGCACCAGTGGTTGCGGAGGTGCAAGTGGCTATGGAGGTGCAAGTGGCTAGGACATCAAACCGTCCCGTAAAATTACGCAACAACGGGCCGTAAAAACGGTTACGCCCCCGTACCGTGCGGCCAATTTTGAGGTCCAAAAACGGCTGTTTTAATACTGCAGATTTACGGGTAAGTCCCCTGGCTTCATGAGGTCTTCTGGCTGATGTCGGTGGGTTTGTATTCCTTAAAGAGTCAGTTTTACACTCATACAGAATTACTAAGTGCTTCAGATGAGCACTGAAAGGTCGACTTACGCCTGTAACGGGCGGTTACGGCACGGATACGGGTGCAAAATCCACGTCCCGTTTTCCTGAAAAAAATTACGGTTACAAGCATATTTCTTACGCCCGTGGGCGTAAAACAGACGGTTTGATGCCCTACAAGTGGCTATGGGGGTGCGAGTAGCTACAGGGGGGCAGGAGGGTATGGTGGGTATGGAGGTGCAGCAAGTGGAGATGGTGCTGGGGGGCAGGAGGGGCAGGAGGGGCTGGGGCTGGAACTGGTCTGGGTGGCACAACCGCTCCTGGAGGAGGGAGGGACCGGTCCGGGTGGCAGAACCGGTTCTGGAGGGGCAAGTGGTGGAGCAGGTGGTATGGGTGGACGAGGTGGCACAGGAGGCATAGGGGCCACAGCAGACTCCTTCCTGCAATCATTTCTGTTGATGTTTGTGTTCTTCCTGATCATTCTTTAGTTGTCATGGATTGGACCCATCAATTGTTTATGATGTTTGTGTTCTTGC